TAAAGGTTGTACAAAGAGTCATAGGTTTCATTCCAATGTCCTACTTCTCAATAGGATGTCTCTTGAGACGTATTCCTTTCGCGGAATTTCACCGACTCTAGGCAAAGTCGTCACATAAACTCATAGGGCTGATGTAACTCCTTGGCTAATGGACGAACCTTCTTTCTAAGGGTTTTGAAAAATATTTTTGCAATAATAAAATCTCACCATAGATGAATAACAAAATATAGTGAACAAAAATAAACAAATAATTGAATAAAATAAATATAGAAAATAAAAATAAAACCTTAAAACCCTAAACCGAGAGAAAGATCATAAACCCTAGAGTGGAGATACCCAACAGAGTTGCCAGCTGTTGTAACTGGATTTTAAATCGAGTCGCCACTATTAGTTTTTATCCTAAGGAAGGGAATCTAATAGGAAACCCTAATTTGTACACAGAGATTCTAGGTTCTGACTTTGTTTAGACGAAAGGAATGTGTTAGGCACTCCTCATCTACCTTGTTTGCAAGGATACCAGGGTTTAGGGTAAGGGTTTTAATTTTTTTTATAGGGGAAGTCACCACGATTTTAGTCGTATGCCTACGTATCCTCTTATGAGGAATCAGAGTCTCAATTCGTAGTTCGTATTTGGTTGAGTTTTTTTATAGGATTACGTATAATTGCTTTCGAATTATCCTTGAACCTTGTCTGGGTTGTAAGTTGAGTGATCGTAGACGCAGTTCGCAGTTAATTTGAAAGTAATTCTCCTTAATCCCTTTTCGAAAATAATATTGAGTTTTTTTATGTTAGTAAAAAAATGGTTTGATGTTGGTTTGCTGTTTTAAGACGTAGAGCAGGGAAAGTATGATAAAGTCTTTCTCCTCAAGTGGCCAGATATTGGCCACAGGTTACTCGTCATCAAGTACGCGGAGGGAGTCTGATGAAGTCTCCCTTATCATGTGGTTGGGTATTGGCTATGTGTTGCTCGCGGATGGTGAATTTGGTGAGTTGCGTGGATTTTAATCTCATTATAAAAAATATTGAAGTAATTTTGATTTGAAGATTATTTGAAATTATGTGTTCAATTATAATTACTTATAAGTAAATATAAATACTCTAAATAAGTAATATTCTTGTACTTTTATGTTTCTGTTAATTATAATCAAATACCTAAATTAAAAGAAATGTGTTAATTCAACATGAATAAATGTTATGGCCTGATTACAAGTTAACTGAAAGTAGTATACTAATTTAAGTAATTAAAACAAAACAAAGCAATTAGATGAACTGGAGGTGTAAATAGGAATGCAAGGTATAAAGTTAGGAACCAAGGCCCAAATAAATTTGTAAACCCAAATTCCTATAATAAAAATAGTAATAGGAAAAAATAAACATACCTGAAAGCATTATAATGAAGGGCACCGCCTATTTCTCATTCTAAATGATAAATGAATTTGACTTTTCAAAATAAAATAATACCCAACCAAAACTTGACACATGGCGTTGCATGTAATAACAAAAAAAATTAATAAAGGAAAGATGGAAATAAAATGTGAGAGAGAATATAAACTCCACTCTCTTTCTCACATGCTAGAGATTTATTAGACTACACCTTTTGTATTGTAGTTGCTGTAAAAAAAAGTAAAAAAATTGCAGGAGATTTGATGGTTAGTATCAATGATTTTAATTTTTTGAATTTGTGTTTTGTGTAGAAAAATTATGTCAAGGTTTTGTGTAGAAAGTTGATCAATTTGTGAGTTAATCTCTCTATATAAAAAAAACTTACAGTATAAGACTCACAAGTAAAACTAAGAGTTTATTCTTACTAAAAAAACAAGTTTGTTATTAGTATAAAAAATAGTTCATAAGAACGAGTTTGTGAATATAGTGTATAAGGATAAGAATGTATGTACATTGATTAAATAATTTTGTGGTGTAAGAACGTATGTACGAAATGGCTTGTGAGAAATTTGAAGTGTGAGAAAAATTCTAGGTGTTATCCTAGTGAGTGATTGTAGGTGGAATTGTTGATATAAACAAAATAATTTCAAAGAAACAAAAACAACCATCAAGAATCATCATTTGGTTGAAAAACAAGAACAAACAAATTAAATAAAAAAATATTGAAAACGGGGTCGTCATATTAAATCATCGGTCAAAAAATAGTTTGAAAAGAAACCTTGAAAAGAGATTGAAAAAATATATGAAAGTGAAAGTTGAAAATAGTGTAAGTGTAGTGAAATTGTGAGAATTGTTAATGAAAAACTAGGACAACAATGAGTCATATTTATATAGTGAAATTAGGTTAAAATACTTAGTAAGTAAGTTAGCCCAAAATATATGAAAAGTCCAAAGTCTGATTTCCAAAAAAGAAAAAAAATTAGTAACAAAAAGAAAAATTAAAAATGTTAAACAATGCGCCTTAAGAGATTCCAACCGACATCATACTTGCAAGCTTAATTCTTTACCAACTATGTTATGTTATTTATTCGAAATAAAAAGTCAATTGAAAAGTACATGAATATGAGCAAGTATTTTTTATTTAAAAATACAAATAATTTGAAATAAGTTAATTATATTTTTAACTGAACTTGGGAACGAATATTTATAAAACCCCTAAATATTAATGTAAATTAAAAGAATTTTATAAAAATCCAAGTTTGAAAATAAATTTGACGGTGGCACTAAGGGCAGACAAATTTGGGATATGACAGATACTTCCTTTCACTTGTTCCAAATCTTCTTGAAAGACCGCTTGGTTTTGTTCAATTTGTTTTATTATCCTTTTTTGATGAACTCTTGTTTGATAAGGAGGTCGAGAAGTCAGTTTGTCTCATCCAATGATTTAACTGGAGATAATGTGAAAAAGATGAGTTTTTTTGTATGAAATATGAATGTGATGCTTGTGGTTGGATGCACTAATGTGTATGAGTATGCTAAGAATTTGTTTAATGTCTTATTCGCTGAGATTTCTTTTTATTATTATTATTATTATTATTATTATTATTATTATTATTATTATTATTATTATTATTATTATTATTATTATTATTATTATTATTATTTTCATGTTTTTATTTTTTATTGGTGAGAATCCCAAAAATATAAAGATAATACCGTAGCAAAATACTTTTTATTGAATAATAAATAAAATCATAATCTTCAAAATGGAAATACAACTTAGACTGAAGCAAATACTAAATGTTGGAAAATAAAAGCAAATACTGAATACGGTAAATCAAAATAACAAAGAGAAACTAAATCTTCTAGCGACACTTGTGAATTTCTGCCCTAAAATCATCAACCATTTTCTTACAAAGCTTGAGGAAGTCTTCAATATCTTTAGGAAGATGGATCATTGTAGCTTCTACATCCCTCAAGCTCCTAGGAATATCACCAATGAGATTGTTTGCTAGGAAGACAAGATTTCTATGTCTGTCTTTGTACCTCAAATACTCCTTATAGAGTATATGAATTATGCGCTTTTGTCCTCTCCCGCCCGTAGGGGTGGCAAACGAGCATGCTCGCCCCGTTTAGACCCGTCCTGTAAAAGCCCACAAAAAATAGGGTGGGGCAGATATAGTCGAGGACGAGAGCCTAAAATCTAAGCTCGTCCCGCAAAAAGTGAGTGTGGAGCAGAAAAAGCCTACGGGCACTACACCTTTTAAGCCTAAAAATATAAAATTTTATGTTAATCTCCGTGCCCGTAAAATCCCGCAAAGAAAATGGGGCGGGACTGGACGGTCACATTAGAGGGTGAGAGCCTAAATTCTTAGTTTAGTGCGAGCATGTCCAACGGACCAGACCCGCTTTGCCACCCCTATCCGCACGGGCTATAATTGTATATTATTTTTTCCAATACTCTTTTTCAACTTTCATATCCTTATAGAGTTCCCTTTGTAGGAAGGAATTCTCTCGGAGCGGGGCTGACAAGCCCATCAAATAGAAATGGACATAAAAATCTAGCTCGCTCCGTTAAGGTGGTGGGCTGGCGAGCTTGCCCGCTTACTTTTTTATTTATTTATTTTTCATTTTTTTAATATATTAACAAACTTTTTTTTACATTTCAATTAGATTTTTCACGAATAATTTTTTATAAAGCATTTTTTTAACAAAATTTACTTAAAAAAATATTATATATATATAAAATAAAACCATCAAGAATTAGACCTGACCTATTAGAATTAACTAAAAAAGAGTAAATTTAAAGTGGAACAAGATAAACGAATAGGCGTGAAGGACTTTAACAGACGCCGAGTTTTGACGGACATCAGTCTTTAACTGGACGGACTTTAATGGACGGCAGATCCAAAATCCAAACCTAACCCGCTATTTTTGGTGGATGCGCGGTCCTATCCGACGAACCACGACCCGTTTTGCCGCCCCTAATTTCAACGGGGCCAAATGACATATAAACCCTGCATTACTAACTATATACCCTGCATCGCTCAAACCAAATGACTATGTATTTGTGTAAATTCAAGTTTGTGCTTCAGTTTTTCAATCTCAATTTCATATGCTTTTGCAGCACCCAACACTTTTGTACACCACATTTATTCATTTTTCAATATACTAGAGATACACATCAATCCAAAATTTGGTTTCTCAACTCTAACTCACTAAATACATGTTAAAGTTAAAGTGAAACAAGAGATGAAAGCACAGACATCCCAACTAGGTTGGCACCCCTGTACTTACAGCCACCTAATATTATTAAAACATAATAAAAAGTTTTGGGGGGACTAGACCGATACCCAATGTAACAACAATGTAGACCAAAATAATTGGCCAACTGCCTCATTAAAAACCTTCTCAAGGAAAACCCTTTTGGGATTAAAACCTTGATCAAGGGAAAAAGAGTGCAGTTTAAATACAATATATCTCATTCACAACAGTCACGGTCAACTCTAAACTCACTTGCAATTGCAAATATTTCTTGTTATTATGTATGAACTATATATTCACAAGAGTCATCGATCAATGACTGCTTTGTCGCTATCAACAGCTGCACCTCTATGTCAAGATTTCGAACGCAATCTTCTATGTTCTAAACGCTTCTTCAGCATGCTGCAAAGTCAACATCAATACAAAAGGTTATGAATATTTATACATACTTTAGGCAAAGAATAATTTAGAAAGTAGAATGTCTAAATTCTCTAAGTAGCGTAGAATTTTACTATTAACACACCTGCAATGTTGTATTATACATTCTGAGTCTTTGCAATCCATGGAGTGAGAAATTCGTATAGTCCATATCTTTTCACAATACTCGCATCCCCCACGAATATGAGCTGTGCAACTTATGGCATGTTTTAAAAGCTTCTTGAATTGACAACATGATGTATCAGAGCAAGGTTTAGCACTAGTTGCAGAACATTGATATGCATGCTTCAACTTCATCTCTAGTTTCAGCAACTGTGTGTGAAAGACGGAAAGTGTGATCACCAATCTAGAACAATCAAGCAGTGGAAAAAAAAATCTTGAGAATTAATTTCATACCTTTTTCCTTAGTGACTCATGATTCCGAAGTTGAAATACATTCTTCAAAAAACCCTCCAGTTTCAGCATCTTCAGCATCTGTGTGTGCGTAAATCAGAAAGTATGATCAACAATCTAGAACAGACGAGTAATAAAAACAATAAATCCAAAGAATTAAGTTCATACAATTTTCCCATCAGAGTCTTGATTATCAGGTTGTGATGTTGAATTATTTTCAGCCAACTTGTGTTCATTTTGAGTCAACTTGTGTTCATGGCAGTCAGCACCTCTATCCTTATAGCATGCAGAGCAAATGGTACAATCTGGACAAACCTCACATTTCCAGCACTTTTGGAACACATTGTGTGCGCAACAAATACTGCAACGTTTTCCAAAATTCGTAGGACTAGGATTGTTTAGATGGTAGAGGATCATCATTGAGGAATACTTAGCACGTCGGAGTGTGTCAAATTGAAACTGATACTTCTGGCAGAAGCTCAAAAAGTTGTTCCTATCTTCAAATAATCCATTCTCAAGGATGGTATCATTATGCTTAGTGTTGGAGGGGATATCATCAACAACGGCCTAAAAACGACACATAAATCAAAATTTTGCATGAATTTACTAATGATGACAAAATCATATTGAAGTTATAGGTTTAGTTAGGTTGTTACCTCACGAAGTGGATGCACTACACCGTTCTTTAAGGTGTGTTCATTTGAACTATGGCATCTGTAATATATTGATACGATAGTCAAAGACAAAACCCTTTTTATTGTATTCAATGCAAAACCAATGCATTCATTTTAAAAGAAGGAGGAAACAATTGAAACATGTATTTAAGTTATCATACCTTTCACACTCTTGAAATTTCTTGCATTCAGTGCAAAACCACCGCTTCCCAGACATTATCACTTCACAGCAGTGTATGCATGAATACTGTAAGTGAGCTACAATGAAATTTTCCTTGGTAGGAAATATATCTTCACCCAACTAATGGAAATTGGGTGGAAAAAAAAGGAAGGAAGATTAGATAAAATGACACATATTATATAAATAACTTAAACTGAACTATATAATAAGAACATTGCAACTTTTAATTCAATCTTAGTATAAAAGGATATGAGATTAATTTTGATGTAATGTTAGTGTAAAAGATTTAAGACTATTAACCAATCAAAATCCATCATTTATATGACTTTTAAGCTAGATATGATCAAAGTCAAATATCTTTAGTAATTCAACTATTGCGATTGATTAATAGAGTAAGAAATTTAAACACTCTCACTTAAATCTGAAGAACATGTCCCACATAATGACATTGTATATTTGATGTAAATGTAGAACACCAAAAATGAAATCAAAGGATGAAAGTAAAAGAGAAGTGAGACATACTTTTTGCATCACCAGAATGTCTTTAGCAGCGTCTTTCGAAGGATTGACATGTCCCATGCTCTTTAAAGCTCTAGTTGACACTTGTTTCTTTAACATATTTTCATAGTCTCCTCTACTCTGTTTTTCAATTGTCCTTGCTTTTTCCATAGCAGAACCACACCAAAAGTCTCCATCAAAGTATGGCAAACGATAAATTGTCACTTTGGAGCCCTTTTTTCCGGTAGGAACAAAAAAATGATCATATATGTTAGTTAAACCAACAACAATTTTTTCTTCAGTAGCCTTTTTTAGCATTGAATGATACCTGCAAAAACAAACAATATAAATATTCTATGGAAACATGGCAGTGCTAGTTGTTGAAAACAAAGAAGATAAAAAAGGAAAAAAGTACTCTCAAATTCTCATAAAAACTCAACATATACTCATAAGAAAGAAAAACTGACCAAGAGCGTAGCTTATCCTTGTTTGGAGTCTTTTGCTCTTTGGGATGACAATATAGTATATAATCATCCCCCCGCTTTGAAGGAGGACATGCCCATATGTAACAAGTTGAGAAACCCCTTTTCTTACAAAATTCAAGGTATCCAATCTGATGATAGAGAAAAAAAAAGACAAAAATTGAAAATGAAAGGATTTAGAATTCAATTTTATAAGTTTTATTGGCCTAGAAGTAAAGTTTAAAATAAAAATACCAATATCTCATGGTAAACGAAGGTACGAAGTGCTTCTCCTTCCACAATCACTCTTTGAGGCCTAAAATATTTGACAGAATCAAGATATGAAATGTACACACAACGCTGATTTGGATTGCCACATTCAGAGCCAAACTCTTGGACATACAGTCCAAAAATGCATATATCTGCTCCATCAATCTTCTGAAACAGAAGTATAACCTGAAAGCAATGGAACTTGTATTAGACCTTTTGGACGTATATTCATTTTTTTCATTGATAAAGTTACTGAACTTACTCTTAATCTATAAGAGAATTCAACTGGGTAATTCCTTTCTGGGATGATGTCAAGAAACTGCTTCTTCACTTTCAATTGTTTGTCGACAGATAACACTTCTCTAATAGAAATATTTTCTGCTGCTAAAACCTACAGTTTTGCAAAAATTCATGGCAAGTAAGAAAATATTCTATAGTTTTTAAATCAATTTACATTTGCTTTAAAAAGATCAATAGTATAAATAACAAGGAAGAAAACTATTTTAGTATTATTTTGAATTTACTTGCTTGTATAAGAATAAGAAAATGTTACGATATTTTAAATTTATGTGCACACATGCTGATTTTTCTGTATTACCTTATCAAGATTCTCACTTCCTTTAACTTTTTCCCCATCAACTCTCACTTCCATGAGACGCTTAAAAAGTCTTTTCTCGAGGTGGTCACTAAGCACGGTACTTGGTAAGTCCTTAGCACCATAAACAGTAGTCCTTTGTAAGGGAACATGCACTCCATCTTCAATTTCTCTTAAGCGGCAAACAGCACATATATAATCAACATTGCAGCCCAAATCTTTTTGGCTGTTGTAGAGTGCACATACTTGATGCTGCCATCTTTTGCATTTATTGCATTCAACCCACTAGAAGAAACAATGATCATTAAAAGTTAGTTTATGGTTTTCAATATAAAGACGAATTATATAGTAATGGTTATTACAACATACCGGTTCTTCAAGTACTTCATCATTTTTCTTTTTTTCAAGATTTGCCTTAGAAACAGATGTCCCGTTGAATGCAATGCACCCGCCTTTAGATGCATTATAACAGGAGGAGCAAACGCAACGCTCTGCATCAAATTCCTCATCTTTTCTACAGAAATATATATTTCTTCTCCTGATGGAGTGGGCACAGCGTATACAAAAAATTGGTACCGGTGCAAAGTAAAGATTTTCCCTTTCACATAATTGGCATGTGTTTGCATCAATTCCTGTTCCATCTTCGGTTGTAATCTGTGTTAAAAGAATTGTTAACTTTTATATGGCTAAGACAAGTTTAAAAGCAAATAGAATTATGCATACAAGTAAATTGCAAAAATAGAAATTTAAATTTAAATAAATATCATAGACTAGAAAAAACTAATAAAAATTGAAGAAATTGACAAATGTAAATAGAATTTGTCAGCTGAGCATGCGAGCACATGCAGACATTCAAAGTTTTATGATAGCATGCATATATAACGTCTAAAGATTAAAAAGAAGTATTGTTCACGTGCTTTAACCAAATAGCTTAATCTTTTGGGATAGTCAGTTCATGACAACACATAGAACAATAATACCCAAACACACCCGGATAATTGAAAACACTAGAAGATGGTGTACTAACCTGAAGAGGTTCCTTTCTCAGACTGTTAATATGTTCTGTTATTTGATCATGTGTGAAAAAATCAATCAACGAAACAACATCAACGACAACTTTTGGCTCACTGACTTCCCTTTTAACAGCTTTCTCCTCTTGGTTGAATCCAATTATGTCATGTTTGTCCTCTACATCAATAGGAATAGGAACCTTGTTTAAGAGAGCATGCATAATGGAATTCGATCCAATGTCAATTTCCATTGATTTTCCGCTGTCAATCTTATTAACTATAGTATGGGTCTCTTGATCAGTTGTTGGCTCATCAACTTTCTTTTTGGTGTTTTTCCAGAACTCAGTTGTGTCTTGTATATCTTCCCCATCAATAAGAAAAACATCATCGGTGAGAGTAGGAAGGTTGGAGTTCAATGTAAAGCCACGGTTGAATTCAGCTAAGCCCTGCATAACCTCTCCACCAGTATCAAAAGGATCCATGTTGAGAGTACGCTTCCTGGATTTCAAACTATCGACAAATTCCTTTGAGCTGATTTCCATCACATCATCGCTTTCAAGTGTATCACCTGCCCCATTGTTGTTTATCCCTCTGATTCCCATAGAATGAAACATCGGATTTGTAAGTTCTTCCCGGTTACTCTCAAAATTGAAAGAAGAAAAGGGGGGAAGTTGTGACTGTTGCTGCACTTCCAAAGGTGTTTGAGAGGAATAAGGTTGAACCAACTGGCTATTCCATTGATCGTTGTTCAAAGATACACCAAAATATGAATCCGGTGTTTTGAGTCTTTTGGTAGGTAGCACTGGAAGGGGTTCGGTATTACCAGACAAGACATCAATAAAATCGTGTCTTACAGCAGAACTCTTCTGAAAATCCAGCATTTGTGGTTGGCATTTCCATGCATCTTGCAATTCTAAACAAGAGTTCCTGCCACGAAAAGGATTGGAAAATCCATAAATCATTTGTTTTCTTTTGGTAGGTTGTAGTATGTCGGTATCACCTAAAAAAGGAAACACAATGTCAATTTTATTGCTGCAAAAGACAGAATCAATATTGCACAAAAAAGGATTTAAACTTGGGAAGAAATCACAATCTAATTTAAACATACAATTATTTGTGTGTTGATGAGGAAAATAGTTGTTAATAGATCTGGTGTTAGCATCCAAATAGTTTCCACCACCATAAACAGGTAAGTTACTACACACATCCATATTAGCAACTGGGGGGATTGATGAAAGGTCAACAGGAAAACAAGGCAGGTCATGAACAGTAGAAGTGTCATATTGTCCCCCTTTTGGCATGCTATAACAACCAGTAACATGAGCCGCAGAGTTGTCCAATACAGCTTGCACACCGCGAGGCAATGTCTCCAGGTTCATATATTCTTCCTGCCAAATATGTAAAAAAAAAACAATATTGTTTAGTTAATAGTATACCGGTACAACTTGCATTTTATACTCTTCTCTTTAATTAACTAAATATATTAAAAATACTTGCATCCGAGCAGTGTCATAATTAGAAATATTCCAGCAAGAGCCAATAGGTGATAATTACAAAAGGGAGTTTATATAGGTGATCAATAACCAACAAAATCGAACTAACTTAACTAATTGACTATCTACTCATAATTAATAATAGAATTAGTTAACTAACTTTTCCATTTGAGAAGTGAATATTGGTCTTAACAGTGCTTTGATGCTCATCAACTAAACTATTCCTAGATAGCTCTATTATGTTATACATAACTTGCAGAGGCAAAACAGAAACAAACAATACAATATGCACAGTTAACTTTAGATCTTTCTGACAAAATCTTTTTCCTTTTTCATAACTTAAACTTAAAACTGATTACTAAGGGTACCTCAACAAAAGTACTTTACTTTCAAAATTCATACCTTTGAAGCAGCACCTTGGCGGAGAATTGCTTCCATTTCAGGATGATCACGCCAGTCTCTATTAAATCCAACAGGTTGATTGCATAATTCATCGTGGCCTCTCTTTTGTATATTGTCCGAGAAAACCGATGAATGATTTGTTAATGTACCATAAGCATTTCTTTCGTCTGCCACGAGAATCCAACTGCTGTATTCCATTTTTCTCTTTTCACTAAGCTACAAGAAATTAGTTAAAGAAAGTTCAATTAGTGTTGATGATATATACTATAAACTCATAAATGAGAGAAAATAAGATTAAAATAAATTTCCGATTCGTTTTTTTTTTCTGTCCGTAATTTTTATACAAGTTCACCAACATAAATGTAATTCTTTAACTATTTTCAAAATATTTTACGTATTTTCATTGATTATGAAAGAACATTATATCTATTTATGCATGTTACTACATTATAAATCAATTTTCCAACCAACGCTCTAATATTAGTCACTGAAATCAGTGAAAAATTAGCACAAAAAACTTTGCCGATTTAGGTTCAGGAATTAAAATAATGAATCAAGACAAAAATGTTTCAGTTTTCTTCAATAATTAAATTAATCAAATCAATTACCAACTATTGATTGAAATGAAAGAATTAGGGTTAGGGTTTTGACTTTAGGAATAAATAAAGACGAAAAAGAGAAGACTATAGAGTGAAAAGGAACGTACAAAGTGAAAACGTTGTCTTTTCTGAAAACTCCAAGAAAAGAAACAAATGACTTTTGTTAAACCCCGTTTCCTAATTTGTAAAGACAGTTCTTCAATTAGTATAATAATGATGTTTAGCGGAACTTCTTATACTTATAGCGATAAATTTGGGGATCCATAAAATTCCTTTAATATAGCACAAAATAAAATTTGGACGAAGTTTCGATTTTTTAAATTAAATTAATTGTTTATTTATCAAAATATTTTTACTTATTTTAGATTTTTCATTGAATTTGTTTTTTATTTTTTTACAATTATTAATATATAATTTATAAAATAACTAATTTATTTTCCATCATAAAGCATAAACCAAAAGTTAATAAAAAGAAAAAGGTTTTAAAAGGATAAATTTATAGACAATAACTGCGGTAATTCTGTCACACCCCTTGTTAATATACTTGATATTAGAATATGTTAGACTACTTGCTTCTGCATATGTCTTGTTTGCTTCCATCCAAGCGGTAAACATTGATTCTTTCACAATCGATTTGTCAAGGACTTCATCTATCAATTCATAATTAGTATAGTAAACCAGATTGTCGCCCTCAAGATGAAAATACAACATTTCAACTGCAGAAGATCTCCCATGAATAGGAAATGAAAAGATCCTCCAACATGCTTCACTTGATGAGACATATCTATAATTAAGATATTGTTTGATTTCATCGACATTTCTAATAAGAGAACTTTTGTCTGTCTCATTATAGACAACAACTGCGGTAATTCTGTCACACCCCTTGTTAATATACTTGAATAAGTACTTAATCGAAGTATCCTGATTACACCACTCCATATTGATGTGTCCCTGAAATTTCTTCAACAAAAACGGGTTATAAGAAACAACGTATCTGTTATCGAGAACTACATTCTTCTTCATCATTGTAATTCCAGTTTCCCTTCTTCTGTACATAGGACATTCATCGTGATCAACAACAGTTTAAGGCTGATATTGTTTGGAAAAGAATTTAGAGCACTTCCCGTTTTTCATACAAGGTGAAGACCGATTTGCTAAACCACATGGCCCATGAATCATATGTGTCTTGACCAAATGATAAAATTGTCTATCATCATTTTCATATGGTATCTCTTCTGAAATGATATTATTTATGTCATCTGGAGTGGGATACTTGCTTGAGGGATGCATGAATAGCAGGATATGTGCATGTGGTAATCCCCGCTTTTTGAACTCAATTGTGTATATATATGAAAATATTGATATTAGTAACAAAAGATGTACATAAAAGATATTCCTTTTAAACAGAGAAAGTCACATAATGAGAACTTGACGATTATTTAGTAAATACAACTTACATGCAACCACTTTCCCTAAGATATGCTTCTTTATTAGATCACACAATAACTTGTCTAACTTAATTTTAAACACTCTTGATATAATATATGGGCGATCATGAGGTTGCTGGTTAATTTTGTTAAGCAACCTTTGAACTTCTGACCAATTTGGATTGCAAGTAAAAGTGATAAAAAGCTTCGGAAAACCAATATGGATGCATATTTCTATCCCATCAAAATACAGTTGTTCCATTTATCTCCAGTTTCCAACATAGGTTGATGGTAAAATGAATCTTTTACCTTTGTCTCCCCCTTGAGTATTTTCCCTTTGTTCGGGACCAGTCATATTGGAGTACTTAGACACTCTAAGTTTTTCTGATGCTTGCGGATATAACTCAATCTTTGGGACTCCATCATAGTAAATCCATCGACCGAAAATTGCTGAAACAACCGCCTTGACCTCAAAAGAGTATGTGCTTCATGTTAACGACTTTGAATCCTAAAAGCAAGCCATTCTCTAATGGTAAGATTATTTTGCTTACCTTTTTTCTTGCATTTGTTTCTCTGTGTAGAACCCCAAGTCTAAAACGATCTTCCCCATATGGAAACAGAAGCGGATATTATAACGCAAGATAACTTGGATGAAACTCACTTATGCTTTTCAGCTTTCCGCTCTGTTTTTCAATTATGATATCCCTTTTAGAACCTGTATCAATATCACCAATGATAAGTGCAACTACCTCAAAAATAGTAGGTTAGTTGTAAGTTATTCCATCATTTGATCTATCATCTATTAAATTCAGCTTTAGATCATGCACTGGAGTAACCTTTAATCTATCTGCAGCCATTTTAAATGATTTAGCGTGTGTGTTGAACTCATCCAACATAACTTTCAATTTGTTGACAGTTCCTGTAACAATATTGGGATTGTTACTACAAAATAGAAATAATAGTTAGCATGCATAAAAAAAGCCATAAAAAATTAATGTCATCATGCTCGGTAAGAACAGAAGCAAAACCCAATTCCTTCAATTCTATGTTGAATCTCATTGTCAGTGTCGTAAATATAAAGTTGCATAAACTTTGATGATTGTCCAAGCAAAGGTATCCTTCTCCCAATTCTATGGAAAGATTGTCTATGTATTCTTATGTTAGGTGGTCCTCTACCATTTTAGAATATATTTTCAAACTTCATTCGATGAGAAGTAAAGGCAAACATAATGTTGTATAATCTGCAATGCTACTGGTAATTTCGACAGTCTACATCATTGTTATCAAACAAAAGATGTTTGAGTAACGGTGGTGGTGTTTTCAAAAGTGGTAACATAACTTTCCATTTACACAAAATAATTGGAACTTGGAAACTACACTATGTTTTCGTTTTTTTTTCCTTTTCTTGATACCACATAAGTGCTCCGCAATGGGTGCATTCAATTGCAGGATCACCCAATGTCTGAATAACCTAAATAAATCAAAGATAACAGAACATATCATGTAAATAAACATGAATTTTAAGTATCTTAAATTGGTGTTTTTGAAATTTAAGCATCACGTAACGAATAATAAATAATTAATATACCGACACGTACCAGAATTGGGACAATTAACCGGTGTAGAAATGCTATCATAGTATTGATTGTCATATGAACATGAAGATGTGTCATCCTTATCCTTTTTATTTATGAATTCACATGAACTATCGCTGAAATATTCATTTGTTGAACATTCTTCATAAGACACATCACTTTCAATGTTAGCATTTGTTGTAGAAATGTTAGCATTTGTAGTAGATGGTAAATGATTTTTGGATGAAGAGGCAAGTCCATGATCAATGTTTGAAAACGTATTGAAAATATTGGCAGCAACCGACTGAATGACACCAACATTCAACTGTATTTTAGATGAATATACGTATCCACTTGTCTGTGCATGTGTATTCTTGTACCTTTGATTAGACGATGAGGAGGTTATACCACCTGGAGTCGTTTCTGAATTTAAAGTGATTGGAGAATAGTTCAACATATCACCACCATTATTGTTGACAATATTGTTGTCATTTATACTTGACATGTTACCCTTTTGTCTAATAATTCTCTTCCTTCTCTGCCTTGCACATGCAGATGAATATTGTGGGAATAAATGATCAAAAGTAATGGTTGATTTGGAGCTCCCTAATGCAGATGTTGGTGTCTTGGGATTAGATATTGATGAAGAGTGTTGTTACCGATTTTAAAATAAGAGTCGCCACCCTTAATTTTTATCCTAAGGAAGGGAATATAAAGGTTAACCCTAAAAAGTCAGAGATTCTAAGTTGTTGACTCGGTTTTAGATGAAGGGAAGGTATTAGGCACCCCCCATCTACCTTGTTCACAAGGATACTAAGGTTAGAAGCGTAATTTTTAGGAAATAGGGTTTTAGTTTTTATTATGGGAACTCGCCACGATTTTAATCATATGCATACGTATCCTCTTAGAAGGAATCAGAGTCTCAATTCGTAGTTCGCATGGGTTTGTGTTTTTCATAGATTACGAAAATATTTGAATTTCCATACTTGGTCTAGGTATGTGAATAATGAAGATATTTAGACAAAACATGCAGTCAATTTAAATATACTCGTAATTCTTTTTTGGAAAATTTGATTGTTTTTTAATTTGATTATGAAAATTATTTGGTGTTGGTTAAATATGTTTTAATATATTAATTGCAAAAAATGTTTCATTGATGTATGTTAAAGATATTCTTAATGCAATTAAATAAAAAGAATATTTGATGAGTTTTAGAAAAAAAATAAATATTTGATTTAATAATAGTAATAATTAATATAATATAATTTATAAATATATAAAAAACATAAAATATAAAAATAAAATAATTAAAAACGCAAGGGAGAGTGCAAATTTAGTTTAGGAGTAAAACTGTGAGGTGTTAATAACATGTCCCCTGAATTCAGATATTGAATTCAGACCCAAAAGGCAGGGGGTGCGCGTTAGAACTGAGCAGCAAAACGGGGGGTGTAGGGAGTCAGGATCCAAGTCCAGACTTTAGACTGGGCCCATTAAGGCTAGGGGTATGCAAATGAACGTGTTTTAACAAAAAAAAAAGAAATGGGGTGCGGCCAGTAATTAGGCTTGGCCCAAGGAATACACCTTTGATCCATTTGGATCAGGTGTGTGGGAGCGCATGGTGACGCAACGGATGCACGTTTTAGGATTGTGTGATGATGATCAAAAGGATATAAGGTGAAGGCGCATGATAGTGATTATAGGGCGGTGCACACTAGATTAATAGGCATAATATATTTTTATTTACAAAAACAATTCTTCATTTTGTTATTCACTTATCTCTCTCTCTCTCTCTCTCTCTCTCTCTCTCTCTCTCTCTCTCTCTCTCTCGTTTCTGTTTTCTTTCTTCTCTTCACTCTTCTCACAATCGTACAAAAACCCTTACCCTGCCAAGTCCTAACTCGTGGCGGCACCCTCATTCTCTCTCTGTCTCTCATCTCTCTTATCCAACAATGTCAAAGAGCCCTAATCCCCCTCAATCTACCCCAATCGTAACATCAATTAGAAAAAAAAATGCAAGAACAAAAGTTAGGTTTTCGTTACCTCCCTCGTGAATCTGCTTATGGCCCTCTGCTTACGTTGATCGCTAACCTTCCTTCTTTGTTTTTCAGGTACAACGGGTGGTGGGGATGTAGACGACGACGACAATGGCGACACAACTAGGGCTTCAAATGTTGAAACCCTAGGCGGCGGTGGATAAGAGTTTGATGGCGGCCTGACCAAAGCTTCCTTCTTCCCTCAATATCTATGTCTTTGTTAAACTTTCTGTAAAAATGTCTCCCTTGTAGTTCTTTTCTTCTCCGTCAATTTTTTCTATCCCTTCTCGGTATTAATCTCTTAGGTTTTATAGTGTTCTTTAGGGCTTATATATTAGGAAACATTTTAATTTGTTTGTACTGTTGATTAGGGAATTAGGAAGTGTTTTAATTTGTCTGCAATTTGTCTCAATTTTGTATTAATTTTCTTCTAAATTAGTCTGATTCTACTTCTATTTATGTGTATTAATTTAGTTTCTATTTTTGGTTGATTATGTTTCTATATTCGGTTTGGTTGTTCTAGATGTAAAGAAATTGTTTGGTTTAAACAGTGACTGTTTGTGCGCTATTATGTCAATGATTCGTACTGTAGATGTTTGTTTGTTTTTGGAACATGTGATTTTTTTTTGGATTGGGACTGTAAAGATTTGGGCTTGTGTTGCGCGTTTAAGGGCTTTAATGTTTGAACATTTAATTCAATCAAATGTTTTTTTCCAAATTAATACAAGAAGTATAATTCATTTAAATACAATTAATAATAATACTAATAATAATCATAATATATACAAAAATAGTATATAAAAAATGATATTAATAATAGTAATATAAAACATAAAAAATCTTGAAACGGGCCATTTTATTTTGGGTCTTCCAGTTCAGTTTTTTTTCTCAATCAATCTTTTTTCAAAATTAATAAAACAAACCCCTTAGCAATAATCCAAATCAATAAACAAACACAGTTTTCTCAAAAAATAGAAATGGGCCAGATTTCAACTATTGGGCCACTTATCTTAAAAACATACCCCTCCTTCTTTGCGTAAATGGGCCTACTGGTTATATTGGGCAAAATGAGTTGCTTACACACCCTCGAATTTATTCAAAACCTAAATGGGCCATATTGCTTTTAAATATTGGGCTTTAACAAAATTGATTTGTTACATACACCCCCCTTTTAATATCTGAAATGGATTAAGAAATTCCATGGGCCCTTTCTGATTTAGAAAGGCCCATGATTTTTCAAAATAGTGTACCCCCAAAAAATGCACCTTCTCTCAAAACATGAGTGAAACCTTAATGAGTCATCAAATATTGATGGTCCATTTTAGATCAGTATACCTCTCTTCCATGTTTTACACCCCTATAGAAATAAAACCTACATAATATAATTTATTTAATTAGAAACCTAAATATAATATAAAGGTAGGGAAAATTTAGGGTATGACAAAGAGGCAGAATATTGATTCTCCAAACCAAAATTCTTAAGGAGATTAGACGACACAAAATGATTCACACCCATGTTCAATCTATGTGCATTTGACATAACATTTCCAATTGGATTTGCATTGAATTCTGCTTCCTCGCATTTAAATCTGAAGAATTGATATTGGATAAAGGTGTTCTGAAAGGATTTTTGGCAGGACTGCCGATGTTAGTAAAATATAAGTTGTAGTTCATATTGTTTTCATCAATTCTATTCCTTTTATATCTTTTATCTTTGATAATTTCCTTCCTTTTGCGTCTTGCCAAGGCTACTAATTTTTTCCTGTCGAGAATATGTGAATCCATAATAGTTGAAGAACACAAACTAACCACAAATTGAGTATCTAAAATCAGGAAATGAAACATTCATTAACAAATACAGTTTGCAAGCTCATTTTGTCTACTTAGTTTTGACTAATGTAAACAAAAATGAACCAATATGTTTGTTATTGGTTCTACGTATATGTAAAAACTTCTCTCTCATGATTTTAATTAATAAATTAATTTTTCTCTATTGATTAACAATAGTATTGAAAAAAATAGCACGGATTTGTAAAATGTAAGGTCGTTTACATACAAATAAAGTTAAACATTATCATATGCTGCATGTTGGAAATTGAACATACTTTAATATTCAATAAGTTAAAAGTTAAATACATGCATATTGTACACATTGAGATACTACCATCATCATTATAAATATGGCAGGCTTAAATATATTAGTTATACTTTGTTTCCATCGTTATAATAGATTTTAAACTTTTATTAGTTTTAAGAAAACGAAAAAAGCTGGAGTTAATAGTAGTTACCAAAGTGTAATAATGCATATGTTGGAAACTTAAATGAAAAGGGAATACTGTTGCAGTAAAAAATAATGTTTGTGGGTTGCAATGCATGACACGTTATACCAAGAACTATAATAGAGATGGTCCAAATATTTTCTACATTAGTAGGTACTATGATATCAAATTAAAGAAAGACCTTTAACCATTCTTAGAAGTAACATATGCATGTCCTTTTTTCTATTTATAGGATAAGTTGTGTATGATATGATTTCATTGTATCAGATTCATTCACTTGTAGTTGAAAAAATCCCTCTCCATATCATTAGGTTATCTGAGAGAAATGTGAGAATGTCTTCTCTAAACTTGAACGAGTAAGTCTCAATTTCTGATCTTACAAACCATTTTTCCTGTGTTATTAATATGGTTGCATGCAATTTTTTGAAGTAGTATTATAGTCATTTATGAACTATTATTACTGGATAGATTTGTGCCACTAAACACCTCTCAACTTTATGATATGCTATCCAACATTAAGGAAGAGACAAAGAGTGTATTACTTGAGAATGCTCCCGCTGATGTGTTGTTTCCAGAAATCAATGCTGCAAGGAATGAAGTAAAAAAGGAAAGCATCATCGGAGAACCTTCAAAATCGAATGGAAGTGGTGGAGAGTTGAAGGAAGAGATGACTTGGTTAAAAGAGATAAGACAATCTAGAAAGAAGGGGAATCAAGTTTTTGTAATTAATATCCTTAATTATATGAGTCAATCTATTACATTCTGTAGTATTAAAAATTTTACTTACTGACTATATGTGTTCAGACATGCAGCATTTCCCAACTATCGTGATAGAAAATTGTCTCAGTCCCGACATTATATCGTGCCTTGTTAGGGATTTCCACACTGGTGATATCACTCATGCAAGATAATAAAATCTAACAGGCAATGTATGGAAATGTACTTAGGAAAAGGGTGGTATTCGTATGCTAAGGGGAAAAACCTGAAGGTGGAAGATACGCTTGCACGCACTTACAATTCAGATAAGGAAATCATGTTTATGAAGTTATACCGAAAAGGTGAAATTCAGATAAAAGACTGAAGTGGTTATTATGTTTGTTTAGGCTGTAAAAAATCAGGAATTTGGTACCAAGTTGGAAACAATGTTATGTTCTATGTTTATTTCTGGAATTATATCATGTTTATGTTTAGCT